ACTGGTACAGGAGGAGATTGCCCCTCCTTCTCCAGCAGAGGATCTGGTGGATTTGAACCGTGTACTTCTGGGATTGCAGTGCAGCTTCTTGCCACTAGGCCACCATAGCTTCCTTGCAAGTAAATTCTTAAGTAATGTATGCTATCAAACGAAATGCCTAAAAGAGATCATGCTTAGATCGCTGGAAATTAAAGTACAGATGATCTTCTGCACTTAACATACAATATCATCATCATCCCTCAGATGTTGTCTTCTTAGGTGTATAGTAATTAGGTAAGTTAATTAAAGGAATGACTGGGATATTTTCAGTTTGATAGGAAATGATATATTAAGTTAAATGGAAACTGTGACTCAGTGGAAGTTTATTCTTATTTTGCATAAATCTCTTAGGACAAATATAACTCCTCTTCATCATCTAAAAGCAAACCAGAGCTCCGTGGCACTAGAGACATTATTGCTAATGTCAGATGGATCTTGGCTGAAAGTGAAGAGTACCAGAGGAATGTCTATCTGTTTCATTGACTATGTAAAAGCATTTGATTGTGTGGATCACAACTAATCGTGGTTAATCCTGAGGAGAATGGGAATACCAGAACACTTGCTTGTGCTTATGCAAAATCTATACTTAAGACCAGGAAGCAATTCTCAGAACAAAGCAGGGAAACACTGCGTGGTTCAAAATCAGGAAGGGAATGAGTCAGGATGTGACCTGTCTCCACAGCTTTTCAACCTATGCACAGAACAGATCATTTGGGCAGCTGGGTTTTATGAGAAGGAATGTGGCATCAAGATTTGAGGAAAACTCATAACAACCTATGTTATGTAGCTGACATAACCTTGCTTGTTGAAACTGAGGAAGACCTGAAGTGCTTGCTGCAAAAGGTCAGGGACTGTAGTTTTCAATATGGACTGAAACTCAACGTCCAAGAAGACAAAGGTTCTCACCAGTGGGTCAATTATCAGCAGCATGATGAATGAAGAAGAGAATGAGGTTGTTAACAGTTAAAGCTTGCTTGATTCCATAGTCAAAACTCTGGACACCAGCAGTCAGGAAATCAAAAGGCAAAGTACATTAGGTAAATCTGCTGTCAGGGACCTCTCCCTCTCCAGAGTACTGAGAAGCAACAATGCCAGTTAAGAGACTAAGGTGTGCCTGATCCAGTTCATTATCTTCACAAGTACTTGTTATATATCAGAGAGCTGGAAAATGACTAAGGATGACAGAAGAAGAATGGATGCCTTTGAGTTGTGCTGGTGATGAGTCTTGAACAAACCACGGACCACCTCAAAAACAAGTAAGTCTGTCTTGGAGAGGGTGAAACCAAGTTTCTCTTTAGATGCTAGGATTTTGAAACTCTGCATCACATACTTTGGGCATGTGGCCAGAAGGAACCAATCCTTGTAGAAGGATACAATGCTCTGAGGGGCAGCAAAAGAGAAGACAACCCCAGATGAGATGAACTGATAGAGTAACTAGGGCAATGGGAGTAGGTGTGTGAGTCAGTGGGACTGGCTCACGACAGGGCAGGCTTCAGAGCTGTTGTACATAAGGCTCCCTGTGAGTCTCAGGCAACTAGAGAGCATATAACAACAAAAACAAATTATGTTTGAAAGAGCAGTAGATAATATTCATTAATTCACTCCCAGATGAAAGTTAGTAAAGATCATCAGAAGCTTTAAAAGAAGCTTTGATAAAGCTTGAAGAGGGAACTACGACATTGTCAACAATTTTCCAGAAACTGAGCTGAATTAAGTCCCCACACGTAGCAGGTTCAAAAGCCAAGGTCATTATTAAAGAGGTCTTTACAGTAACTCATGCTTCTTCTTTGTTACTTCTATGGGGCAAAAGTGAAAGGAGAGCATTGTCTTCACTTCCAAGTGAGACAGCTAACCTAGAGAGGAAGTGGGACTGGGTCTGACAGCAACAGAAAATTTTCTGTACTGTGAGCATAACTATCTCCATGACTCTATTTCCACAGCACACGGCTACAAATTCAGGTCCCAAATGGGAATTAAATGAAAAGGAAAATAACAGTACTGACGCATTCCATAAGTAGACTGGGTCCCTCTTGCTGTATCCCTATCAAGTTAGGGTAGTAAAAAGTTCTCTGACTAGGATGAAAACTCTGGTACTACCCGTCTTCCCTCTGTGGAAATCTTACTCCTTAAATAGCTTCACTCCAAGAATAACTAAAAAGTAATTGGCTACTTAGGGCAAACACATTAGACCTCAAGGACTCAGGCTCCCTCTAAAACACATAACTGCAGGCAAGGCTGGCCATAATGACAGGCAGATGTGGGAGCCCTTGTAGGTGATGATCTAAGTAAGGGGCAGTCAAAGGTACTCTGCCAGCAATATTTTCCTGAGCTAACAATTTCTTATAGTAGGTTCTATATTTAGCTCCCATTTAGGTTTTAATATCAGTCAGCAAAATGTCATTTTGAGTTACAGACTCTCTGAGATCTGGAACTAAATAAATGTCAGCAAATTAAGTTTTGCTAACACCATTCTCTAAACATCCTGTTTAAGAGATCAATACTCAGTCGCTTTGCAATTAAGAATGCTTGGACATTTAAAAGAAATAGATCAAAATTACTGTGATTGAATTTCTTTCCCATCATGGATTAATTCCAATATTCTGCACTATAAGACACATCACAGCCAAAAGAGAGTAGGTTTAGGAATTTTATAAGCTTTTGGTTTTGCACAGAGTTTTTTTTTTCTTTTAATTTTGGATAAGCCATTTCACTTACTGAAAGATAATTATAG